ACCCACTGGCCACATCACAAGCAGCCTGAGTTACCCAAATTCTTGGTGGAAAGATCAAACCTTTCTGCACACAGGGCTTCAAGGACCTTTCCTCTGCACGTTCCTGCCTGGGTCCTGTCATTTGTTCTCTCCTTCACCCACCCCCACACCCACCCGGAGCTCTGGTTTTGCTCTTCCTGAGAGCACACAGCTCAAACAGGACCAAAGTATTTTTATTCCATGGATGCAGAAACAGATGTTCAGGTCAAACCCAGACACATTCACATGCTGCAGCTGCAGGCCCCGGGCATCCCAGGCCTTTCAGAGTTGGAAGACGTCAGATAACAGGACCCCAGCCCAGCGACTTCCTTTTCCCAGCAGAGGAACTGAAGGGCCCACAGAGGCAGAGAGACCACTTTGAGGTCAAGAAATGAGCTTTAGGTATCCCTGAGGAAACGGCTTGGGGATGAATTATGGAGGGACAGCGTGGGAGATGGAAAAGTGAATGCAGACAGAGCTGGGGACCAGGCTGGGCTGTGTGCCCTCCCCACTGTGCAAGCCCCAGCCAGCCACATACACCTCCGGGTGGATAGGACACCCTGCAGCCTGCCCTGCACAGCTGGAGCGGAGAGAGGTACCTACTCTCTCTCTATCTCAAGATCTCTACCAGAGTGTTTCCTGGGGCTGAGAGGGAAACCACAATCTGGGCATCACTCTGTAAGGACATAACTGGGGCCTGGGGACCCACCTCCTGGAGAGAAACCAGGCCTCTGCCCCTGGGAGAGGCAGTGGGTGAAGTACAGGCAGGTCTGCCTACGTGACCTGGGACAGGATTCCTCACCTCCCTTAGCTTGCAGGGAGGCTGTGAGGATCGAGCATGACATTGTGAGGACCTGGTGCTCGGTGACTGGCACACAGGAAGTGCTTGGCTAATGTGTGCTCAGCATTATTTCCAGAAGCAAGGTTGCCCTGTGATGTCCTTGTGGGGACCTGCATAGTCTCTGTGAACACAGTCTTCTTGTTGCCTGGCAAAGACTGCAGTACAAAAACGTTATTGACTCCGTCACTCTCAGGGCTGCTGTCAGCTCTGAGGCCGGGCATGTTGGCCATCAGGGTTGGAAAGGACCTGGTAGGACAGTCTCAGGTGCAGAGGGAGTCCCTAGAGTAGAGGCCTTGAACCTCAGGGCCCATGGCCTCCAGAGAGGCTTCTGAGAACTGGGCCCCTCCAAATGGTATGCAGAATGTGCTGTCTGGGGACAGGGACCACAGCTTTCAGCAGGCTCGCAAACAGGGCCATGACTAACAGCACTAGGAACCTCTGGCCTGAACACCAGCAAGGCAGGCATTAGGAGCCACTGTGGGAGGGAATAATGGCAGGTAGTGCGGGCCTCAGACATGACCCTCTGACCTCATGCCACCCCTCCGATAGCCAGTGGCAGCCAGCCAGAGGCTTGGTGTCTTACCTGGACAGCCACTCTGCATAGGCTCCAGGTCTTGGCTGAAACACCAGGGTTAGAGTGTGGGACAGAGACCTGGGCCCCAGCAAGCAGGGTGGGGACCAGTGAGCAAGACTCCATGAGGCTGGCTCAGGACTGGGGACCGTGAGGTGGGGTGGTGACAGGTGGAGGGTGGAAGTCATAAAGGCCTGGGATTGTAAAGGCAGAGAAAATGAGGGTCCACTGTGCCAGCCGTGGGGGCTCCTTCTTGTCTACTGGAAAGTGGCACATGTGAGGGATGGGCCATCAGGTGCAGTGTCCTGCCAGGGTGGGCTTGGTCTAAACAGGACCTCCAAGCCCTAGGCAGAGGCTTCAGGTGGGTCATGGAATATGACAGTGGGTTCTGGTCCTCTCTCACTTGTTCAATTTCTTTCTTCTCTTGGTCCTTATTTTATTTGCCTTATCTTATTTATGTTTTTCTCATAAGCCACTCAAATCATTTGGGAAAACAGGTAGAGTATAAATGGAAATGAAAAAAAGAAAGAGAGAGAGAGAGAGAAAGAAAAAGAAAGAAAGAAAGAAAGAAAGAAAGAAAGAAAGAAAGAAAGAAAGAAAGAAAGAAAGAAAGAAAAAGAAAAGATACCCATATATAGAAAAGCTGCCTGGAGAGAGTGAGCTTTCAGTTGTGGGATGTTTTGTTTGTTTTCCTAAAAGATATTATTTTTTTGGTGACAAGTAGATTATGTTCATTTAAAAAATGTGGAAGTTTTGTAGAAATAAAAATAAAGAAAAAGAATTGCTCATAATTGGACTATGCAGACAATCACAGTTAGTATTTTGGTATGTTTTCTTCTAGACTTTTCTTACAAGTATAAATTAAAACATGTGGCCAGGTGCAGTGGCTCGTACCTGTAATGCTAGCACTCTGGGAGGCCAAGATGAGAGGAGTGCTTGAGGCCAGAGTTCAAGAGCAGCCCGGGCAACATAATGAGACCCCATCTCTACAAAAAATTTAAACATTTTTAAAAAGACATTTTTTTGTATTTGTACTATAAATGACATCTAGTATTCTAACATAATCTATATCCTATGTAACATGGACAGTTTTGTATCATACTAAAAACTCTTTTTTTTTTTTTTTTGAGACAGAGTCTCGCTTTGTTGTCCAGGCTAGAGTGAGTGCCGTGGCGTCAGCCTAGCTCACAGCAACCTCACACTCCTGGGCTCAAGCGATCCTTCTGCCTCAGCCTCCCTAGTAGCTGGGACTACAGGCATGCGCCACCATGCCCGACTAATTTTTTATATACATATCAGTTGGCCAATTAATTTGTTTCTATTTATAGTAGAGACGGGGTCTCGCTCTTGCTCAGGCTGGTTTCGAACTCCTGACCTTGAGCAATCCGCCCGCCTCGGCCTCCTAGAGAGCTAGGATTACAGGCGTGAGCCACCGCGCCCGGCCTAAAAACTCTTTATAAACATGTAAAATAGCTCAGTCCCTCATAGTTAGACATTTAGATCCTCCCCCAGTTTTACATTATTATAAATAAAGCATTGAAAAATATTTTTATCCATGGAGTTCAAAGTTCAGATTATTTCACTGAGAAAGATTCAGAACTGGACTTGGCTCCAGCTCAGAAGCGGCCAGCCCAGCAGGAGCGTGAGCGTGTGAGTGACAGTGTGCTTGTGATTGTGTCAGGGCTGCCTTTCTCACTGGCCCTGCAAGAGAGGGCGACTGAGGCAGGTTCTTCCCCAGCCCCACGCGGGAGCCAAGTGCCTATCCTCGAAGCCTTGTTGAGGGGAAGGAGGTAAAGAAAAGGCTTCCTGGTGACTCGTCTACTGGGCCTATAATCCCTCTGAACCTTCAGGCTGATCAGGACAAAGCCCTTCAGGCCTGGTGACCACATGCCCCCCGTGTCAGGGCCACCTTTGGGACTGTCAGGAAGAACGTGCCTCACAAAGCGTCTACGTCCTGCATGGCTGGCCTGCCCCGCCCGCCCAGCCCTCAGCTCAGATGTGCTGTCCGACCTGTGCATCCTTCCTGCTTGGCTGGGTTGGCTTCCAAGGCAGGCGGGCCTGCTTTTCTCCTCAGAAGGACTCGCCGGTGGGGTCAGCCAGCGGATAAGCTAAAGTTACCTTAGCTATTATTGCTTTTTTGTTAATGAGGGGAGGACCAGCTCTGGAGGTGCCAAACCATTCAGAAATGCTGTGCAGTGCTCAGGATTTAATATGCCAGAAAAAGTCCCGTGTGCAGGCTAAAGAAAGCAATTGACAATGATTTAAGTTCTGTCTGGACTCTCAAGGGTCCCTTGTGCTTCACTGAGCTTTCCTTTTATTTATTTATTTTTTTTGGAAAATATTTTTCCTATGAAGTTATGAATCTTGGAGGCTGAGAGAAGCGCGAGCAATCTCGTTGGACTCATCAGCGTGGCAGGAGCTCTCTTTTGTGGCTGGAAGCCCGAGCTGTAACTGAGTCTGGGGGGGATGAGGCTTGCAGGAGATTCTGTACTTGACCCTCGGGTTGGCCGTGGAGTGGTGGCTGAACACCCATCCCACAGGCCTTCAGGGAAAGGGAGCAGGGGTTGGCTTCTCTTGGGCTATATTGTCAGTAGGAGCAAACCAGCTCATTCCCAGAGAGATTCAAAAGCAGAGGCTGAATATCCTGGGTGTTCCTGAGCCCAAGAACACTTGACTTGTGTCTTAAAACCCCACAGCCCACCGGCACATTCACGGATGCTGTTCAAAGTGACCTCCTTTGACAAAGAAACGACAAGCCTGTAGGATTGAAACCATTTGAAAAACGTTGTTTAAGTCAATGCACAAAAATGTTTAAAATACTTTGAAGAAATCAGATCTGAGATGTTCCTGCTGTAGTCTGTGAACAAGTCAAATTGAAAGCATGGACTCGAGATGTGCCCACAAGCTGAGAGATCTAAGAGAAGGCTTCTTTTCAGTGTGACCCATATTTACAACCTACCTACTGTGCACCAAGTGCAGTGCATGGCTCTGGGGGACAGAGCTGCGTAAGACTGGATTTCTTGCCTCAGAAAATCTGGTTGGGGAAAGACCTGCTGTGGCCATAGTGCCAGGAGCGGGTAGGAGGGAGCAGTAGATCCCAATTAGGGAGTGGTCGGAAAGCCCAAGGGGAGCAGCATTTGAGCTGGGCTTAAAGAGTCAGCACACTATCCATGCTTAGCGACGTGGGAGAAGGATCTGGAAGGTTGGGTCACAGGGATGGGTGTGAGGGGTGTGCTTCGAAAGAGTGACTGTTGAGGGGAGGAAAAGGCGAAGGGGGAACTGGAAAGGGTGGGCTGTGGCCAGCTTGTGGAGGGCTTTGATATTCACCTTAAGGAGTTCAGACTTGATTCTCTAGCTACCGGGGACCCATGGAAGGTTTCTGACCCGGGAAGTAGCTTGCAAATATCAATGAATTTCTTTAACAATGAAAAGCAAACCCATAAATGCATGCTCATTGAAAAATATTTCAGCTATATGGAAGTCTATAAAGCAAAAAATGAAAGTGCTCCCATTCCTGAAGGTAACCATTGTTCCATTTGGCTCATTTTTCTCTCCTTTGTATTATTTCAGAGCATGGTTTTATTGGATATTCACCAGAACTGCTACAGAACAACACTCTGCCAGATTACAGCCCTGGGGAGTCTTTTTTCACTGTCTTTGGGGTTTTCTTCCCAGCAGCTACAGGTATTGTATCTGAGTTCTTTTTTACTCTGAAATTAGGCATATAAATGCTTGATTCCCAAAATTCAGCACCATAATTGGCCTGCATGTGCTCTCAGTATGTACATCCTACTTTACAAATGTGCTTAGTTTTGACTCAAAAGCTATTATTTTAACAGAGAGTTTACTTGATCATAACTCCTGCAGGCCCCAACATGATTTAATCCTCCTGGATTTCTTGATCCTCCTTATACTTACACACTGACACCCCTTGGCCAGGTTCATAGAGGGGGCATATTTCTCTTAGTGCCAAACAGGATGGATTCCTCAGCAGGACGAGCTGCTCTCTTCACACCTGGAACGAGTGCACTCTTGGTCTAGAAACTCCCTTCACCCCTATGCCAGGGAGAAATGCTGTTATCTCTTCTCTTCTTGCAGTGTTGGGTGTGGGCCAAACCAGGATCCCATAGGCAACGAGTGAATCTCCTTACCACCCCATTCCCCACTTTCCCGCCCTGCAGTGGCCATGGAGGAGCCTTACAAAGCCAAGCGCCCTGTAGAATTCTCACCTCATGCTTAGGTCCCTGTCCCTTAGGCAGTAAGCTGATAAGTTCACCAACCGGTCCACGGGAAATGGCACCTGCCAGGGCCTGGGCTTGTCCCCAGGGCACATACTCCGAAAGGTAGTGTTGGTGGCCTCGAGTATGTCTGCTGTGGTCCCCTGTGTCCCTCTCCTTCCCCTCTACCTTCCTACCCATGTCCGTTTCCTTACTCATTCTCCTCTCCCCAGATAGGATAGGAGAACCTATGAGAATATCTAAGATTAGGATTGTCTACACGAATGTTGGCAAGGATGTGGAGACACCGTAACTCTCATACGCTGCTGATGGGAACATAGGTAGAGTGACCACTTTGGAAAAAAATTTGATAGTTTCTTAAAAATTAGACATACATGCAGCCATTCCACTCTTAGTTCCCTACTGTAGAGGTCAAAGGCGTGTGTGTAATCATAGAAAGGCTTGTGGATGAAAGTTCAAAGCAGCTTAATTTTCCCAAACTGGAAATGGCTCAAATGTTCATCAGCTGGTGAGTGGACGAACAAATCATAGTACGGCCATACGGTAGAGAGCTACTCGGCAATAAAAAGGAATGAACTATTGATACATGCAACAGCATATGGATTCATCTCAAATGAATTATGCTGAGTGAAAGAAGTCAGATGGAAAAAGAGTACCTTTAAAAAATGATATAAAACAACATTTATACAAAATTTTAGAAAATGCAAGCTAAAGTGGCAGAAAACAGATCAGTGAATGTCTGGGAATGGGGGCCTGGGAGCAGAAGGGAGGGATTTCCAAGGGACAGGAGGAAGTTTGGGGAAATGAAAAATATATTCCTGTTTATGGCGATGGCTTCCCAGATACATTCGTATGCTGAAGTTGTTCAGGTGGTTACATTTTAAATTTACACAGCTTAGTGAGTTAGTTATGCCTTGGTAAAGCTGTTAAAATGGAAAAAATTAACAACTTTAATAACCTTTAATCAGCTTTCCTCCGTCCCACTTCTCCCTATAGCAGCGGCCTTTCCTCCCCTTGGCACAGCCTCATGACACGGCTCCCTGCTCAACTCCACTCTCCTGCAATCCCAAGCCTGTCTCTCCAATGACACAGTTCTTTCCAAGGTCACCGGTGACTTCCTTGTTACTAAATTCAGTGGGCATTTTTAGTTTCTCCCTTTATGTGACCTCTCAGCCACAACCCACTTCCTCTTTCTTTTCTCGTGCCTTCCACAATGCAGCGGGCTCCTCGTCTCCCTCCTGCCCCCAATGTCAGGGTTCTTCAGGCTATTCCTAGGCCCTCATCTCTTCTTTCTCCGCCATCTTCCTTGGAATCTCATCCATCCCCACTGCTCAAAGCGGATGCCTCCCACACGTGTAGCTCCAGCCCAGGCTTCTCCTCCTAGCTCCACATCATACCTTCAGTTGCCTATGAGTCCTCTTCTCGTGGGTATCTCGGACTCCACAAGCTCAGAACCAAACCATCTCTCCAGCCCCCAACCGGTTCTCCTCCTTCCTGGTCTCAGTGACGGCACCTCTGCCCAGCCGATTGCTCAAGCCATGATAGGGGGTTATTTATGATGCCTCTCTCTTTCTTCCCAGTACCCTCCAAGCCCTATCGATTTTACCTCCTAAATATCACTGAATTCTCTCTCCTTCTCTTCATCTCTACCGCCTGACCCCTCTGGTCTGAGCTTCATCTCTCACTGGGATCACTGCAGCCTCTTCCTGCCTGACCTGCCGTGAGGCCTGGCCATGGCAATGTGCCGGAACTGGGGCTCAGTCGTGGCAGGTGGAATCTTGGCCCACACATCCAGCTTTGCCAGACATAGCCCACCTCCCTCATTTTTATAAAATGAAAGGAGCATCAATCTCTGACTCTAAGCCTTCATTCTGCCAGGATGACTCAAAACTAATATAAATCATTCAGGGTGCCCCCACCTGGTCCCGCCACACTGGGCACTAGTCCCAGGGCCTCAGGGGCTTACATGGCACCAAGTTAGGGCTCTGGCAATTCCTCATCAGTGTCCTGTCTACAGGACCCTTTAGGTTTGTGCTGCCTTGGAGCCACTTTAGGGGACCAGAGGTCCGCTGAGCTTGGGAACCCTATGCTTCGGGCCTGTATACCTCCCAGACCTTCCTTCTCGGGGTCTTACTGGATCCCCACCAGCACCCCCAGGGCCCAGGTGGGTCTCAGGTCCCCATTGCTTCATAACCTGTGGGCAGCCATTCCCTCGCCACCCTCAACTCCAGGGCCAATCTTCTGTTTAAATATGGGGACACACCTATCTAGGACCAGCTTCCCAGGAGTGTGACCCATGCATTCACCCTGGGCCCCGTGCTGAGAAGAGCCCCAGTCTGGTTCTAATGCTCTGCTGTTGCTAAAATCCTTTTGCACAAGGGACACTGTATTTTTATTTGTGCAGGGCCCCACAAACTGTGTGGTAGTTTCTGTTCTTGTCCCCCCTGCTTTCCCCACTCTGCTGCTGTTCTATTTCCCTGATCCTCCCAAATTGCCTAACCTCCTCGGCTTTTGAGAAACAGAAGCCAAGACAGTGTGCAGATCAGTCTGCTTCCTCTGCCACATATCTCCCCCAAGGCAATAAAATATAGGTCAGTTTCCTCTTGAATGGACAGAAAAGGAAAGGGGAAAATATAAAGGGAATAAAAAAAAGTTGACATCTGAAAATATTTTCCATCCCCTCTCCCTCCCCTCACCCACACCCAAATTGAACACATGTTCAAGGGGCTTTCCGTCTGAGTGTTCCCTGGAGCCTGGCAGCAAGTCCCCACTGAGCGAGACCCCTCGGGCTGAGGTGCCAGGTTAGCGGTTACACCTGAGCAGGGGGCTATGGGCACCCTTGGCTGGTGGGACTCCACAGGCAGTTGTCCCAGGTGTCCTCAGGCACACAGGACATCATCTCAGTAGCATAGCCTGAGGTCCCCTCTCCATGCTGCCCCCGTGGCTTTCCTCCTGTGCCTCTCTGGGCCCCGAGAGGGGGCAGGCCTGGCCTGCTTGGGGGCACGAGGCGGTGAGCCTCCCCCTCTGGTTCTTTTCCCTCCAGACAGGAATTCACTGTGGCCTGAGGCTTGAAGATGCCAACCAGTAGCCCACAGTGTGAGCTGGATCAATATTTGACATTAGCTAGTTCAGCACCTCTCAGCTTTTTGTCTTTTTAATCTGTATTCCTTTTTTTTTTTTTTGAGACAGAGTCTTGCTTTGTTGCCCAGGCTAGAGTGAGTGCTGTGGCGTCAGCCTAGCTCACAGCAACCTCAAACTCCTGGGCTCAAGCAGTCCTTCTGCCTCAGCCTCCCAAGTAGCTGGGACTACAGGCATGCGCCACCATGCCCGGCTAATTTTTTCTATATATATTAGTCGGCCAATTAATTTCTTTCTATTTATAGTAGAGACAGGGTCTCGCTCTTGCTTAGGCTGGTCTGGAACTCCTGACCTCGAGCAATCCGCCCGCCTGGCCTCCAAGAGTGCTAGGATTACAGGTGTGAGCCACCGGCGCCCAGCCTGTATTCCTTTTTGATAAAATCATACTAAAAATCCCACAGACACTGGGAAATCTACATTGGATGGGGAGGGTGTCTTTGTCCTTCCTTTGAGAAAGATAGAGCTACCTAAAAATATTAGTCAAGATTTATTTTCTGTAGTTTAAATTAAGAGCATATTATTAATATTTTGTAATATTCCAAATATAAAATTCTGATATTGAGTAGACTGTAACTACACAGGCTTGTGTACCCCACCCCTCTTGGAACGTGCTTTCCTGTTCCTCCCACTCACCCTGGGCCAACCAAGGTTAAGAATGACTGACCTAATCCTTTATTTACCAAGTGGGGAAGGAGGGACACAGAGCTGATGAAGGTCACCCAGAGTTGGGCTGTCATCCCGCTGTGAAGGTCGCCCTCCCCCGGTTCTCTCTCTGGTTCTCTCTCTGTTTACTGGGGCCAAGTGTAAACATGGTAGGCAGGATGAATGATTAGTGCTACTTGCTCTCTCCTGGCAGATGTTCGGTTAAGCTATGAAAAGCATGGATGATTGGCAGTTTCCATGGCGATGGATTTGCCAAGGATTAGCTCTGAGTGAGTCATGGCTGGAGCTCCCTCCAACGCCATCCTCTTCTGGAACAAGAGAACCTCCAGGCTGTGGCGAGGGGAGAGTTCTGAAGAACAAACACTTTTGTCCCCCAGCCCTCCAATCTCTCGTCAGAGATATATTATTTAAGTTACTTCAGATATTTTATCCCTAGGCCAGGTGGCTTCCTGGGAAGAGCAGCTGGAGATTTGATTTCGGTGGTGGCTCTGGATTTAGGAAGCGGTCCTTCTGCCCCCTACCGCACCCCTCTACCACACCCTGTGGTGGTGGCTGCAGGGTATGGGGGGGCCTTGGAGTAGATTCTGCACTTGCCTTGTTTCTTAAAGCACTTCCCTTCTCCAACCTACACCACCAAACTTTCCC